TCTGGCTTGCTGTACCAATTGTTGGACTATGCTTGATTTTGTCAGGTTTGGTACTGTTCGGTGCAAGTCATCCTATACTGCATAGACCCATCCATAGCATATCACTCAAACTCCAACGGGCTCATTCTGTTGGAGTTTATCAGGTTTGGTACAGTCACCTGCATGTACAAGTACATAGACAAGTACATGAACCTGTTGGGTTTTGTGAGGTTCAGTATGCTTTCTAGTGCAGGAGCCTAGGGGGTTAGGGTTAATGCAGTTGTACTTGTTGACTTGTACACCAATATATGTGCATGGAAGCTTGTGTACTGTTTGTACGTGTAGAGTTGCACATTGTGCAGTGTAACATTACTTGCTGAGTACAATTACAAGTGTTTTGATATTAGGTCAATCTGTTGCCTCTGCCCGTGTTCATGTTTTGTGATTGATTTCTGCTGGTCATCACGCAAGAGTTGTCAGGTTTGCTCTTCATCTGTGAGGATAAAAACTAGTGCTTGGATTGTTTTGTTCACCTGCACAAACTCCGTTTTGAATATATGGTGACTCTCACTCCACTTCGCATCTACTGCAGATTGGACCGAGGCTGTGCAAGTGGACTGTCGTCTCCTTGAGAAGTCAGTGGAAGCATTTTGCAAGAATCCTACAAGTCTGGACTTACAACGTGATCTCAGGAACCTTTTTGCCGGAAGATCGTGTCCTTGCCGGTTGGTGAAAACTATGTTCTGTCCATTCAGAGGGATCAATATTCAATAGCCAGTTCTCAACAGTGGCTGCTTCTCTGATAAAAATGGGACGTCGTCCTCAGACAGGGCAAAGTGTCAACAAGACAAAGTTTGAACTATTTCAAATGAGTAGGAAGAATGATTGCATCAAGAAACACAAGGAGTCAGATATGTCACAAAACACAGTCAAGACGTTAACTCCAGTCTACCTGAGATCTGTCAGTAATGAGGATGATGCGGTTAGGGTCTCTGAATCTGAAGGAAGGAGAACATTGATGCACCTACGACCACACAAAAGGTACACACCTGTCGTTGGTTTGTCTAGGAGAGGGCTAATGACTAGTAGGGGCCATGCTGACAGACTTCAGAACGAGGAGGATTCATCACTTGTGCAGAGGGAACGTCTTTCAAAATCAGCTGCAGTCGTATCTTCAGAAAAGCAAGAAGAATCACCTGTGGAGAGAATTGTAGAAGATGAAACACTGTCCCTGAGGAGTAAGACTGCATCGGTTTCAGCAAGCAGTGAAAGGAGTCACCATCTAGAAAGAAGCAGACAGCAACAAGGGAAGCAGCTTGAAGCCACACCTGTACTCCACAGGACTTGGCAGCCACCAAGTTATAGCAGGCTCTTGCAAGCAATGAGCAAGAAGTCATCCGCATTACACTGGAATAATGTGATGTCTTTGCGGCCAGACAGAAAGTACACTTCAGCATTTGCAAGACAAAGAAGAGAAACCCAGAGTGAGAAGAAAACAGGTTGTAAACTTTGTAAAGCTGAAAAAGGACACGAATCCTCTTTTCCACTGTTAAAATCATTATTAAAACTCCCTGTTATTGAACCTACAAAGGAAAAAGTATCTACATCTGTTTGCACTGACAGAGATGATCATGTCCATGCAAATACTGCCGAAACGAGCAGCACACATAAGCAAAAGAGTTGTGCTCAGTTGAAAACAGGAAAGAAGAGATTGCCCAAAGACAGGTTGGCTCAGCATGGTGGATCCAGTCACGATTCGCAGTCATCTCAATGTTTGGATGAAGGGACTCCTCAGTGCAAGGACATGACTTCCCCAGAATCAAGGATCACACCAACGCCTAGTAACAAAAGCCAAAGACCAAACTCTGAATGCAGAAATACGGACCCACAGTGTGCAATAGGGTTAACATATAACACCAAACCAGCATCTCATGCAATAGAGCAGGCATCGCCGTGGAGTGTTTCACAAAGTTTAAGAACAAAGAGAAGTTCTTTGACATCTATCCAGTTTCACGGGAGATCTTCTCCAAGTCAGGAAATATCATCAGTTGGCAAAGATTTGCAGAGGATGGACGAGAGTGCAAGCCAGGATTCAGAATCTGAAAATGAACATTTATTTGCTTCTTCTGGCCTATTAGAGAAACCTGACAAAACTTTTGAAAATAAAACAGCAGAGAGTGAGAGTATCAGTGAGTCAGATGAATCATTAGGCTTACCAAAAGTCCATGTTGACTTGAAGGGACAGCGTACCCACCAGAAATTAAATGTCATTGAGGTGCCCACTCAAAGTGAAGTCACTGGTACTAGCCCTGTGGTTGTCAATTTTGACCCAAAGAGTCTACTGACCGTTCGACCGCATACCGGATACCAATCGATGGCTGGTAAAACGAAGCTATGCCCATCTGAACGTAAACATTGGCTGTTGATCCAAAAGGGATGCCACACCATCTGCCAGTTGGAAGATTATGCCCCAAAGATGCTGATGGTGCTTCGTCCTTACACTGGATATCGGAGCGTAGTTGGTAAGCAGCAGGTGCACGATATCAAGTCAAAACACTGGCTCTTAGCGCAAGTGAACAGAGACCCCAATGATCAAGTAGTGGAGGCCAATCCTGAGCTGTCCTGCGAGGCAGAAGAGTGTTCCTGTGACTCGCCTAAACTTGGTACCAGACTCGATCGTCTTGTTGGAAATATTCTGGATGGAACACAGCTGTCCCAAGAGTTTGTTAACCCACCTGTTAATCTGTCCCATGTGCCGCTCGTAAAAGCAACGGAATCCAGTGATCATTTAGCTGATGAGTCTCCCCAGATTGCACAAGAACCTGATCTCAAACAGCCCTCAGAACATCAACTGGTACCCACACTTGAAGAGAAATCCAAGTGTGATGGTTCAGATAGTCTCCACTATGGTATATGGAAATGGACTGAGAAAAAGTCGGCGCAAAAATGCAGAAAATCAGCCAGGGGTCATCCTTGTCTTGTCAGCAGTTCTACTCATAGAGAGACAAAAATAGATCAGGCTTCACAATCAGTGCCTCAATTGCATGTAACAGATGGAGCTGAACCCACTCTCAAGCCAGAAAGAATTGTGGAATTCTCACAGGATAAGTGTACAATACAGGAGGAAGCCATTACAAACCATACTTCAAAATTGACAGAGCCTTGGCTCAGTGTAACACAAGCAAATGGAACTCAATCAGAGTTCAGTCAACCTAGTGAAAATACAAGTGGTCAATCATGCATGGCCCAAAATGTTTCCAGTGGACAGTTGAAAGAGAATCATGAGTTGAATTATTCTGAAAGTGATGTGCTAGGAAATGCAATTAATGAGACTTGTCGGCCAAAAGAAACAGATGTAGATTCTACCCCAGCAGTGACTCAAGTCCAGAACAATGTCCCATCGTCCTCAGATGTCTTTCAGGAAGTCGTTAGCATCAGTGGACCAACTGTTGCAGATTGTGAAGGCACTTGTGAAGGCCAAGTCCAGGGTACTGTCATAGAAGAGAGACAGGAGAAATACTCTGAAGCTGAACGCAAGCGGTCGAGGCATCGGAGCAAAAATCTCAAACAGAGATGGTCCCCACGGATATTCAAACGACCTAAGAGACTTTTCAAACCCACTGAAAAGTTTTTAATGCATCAACTCAGGAAAGCATCAAAGTCTAGAGGGAAGTCTGCAGATGTCTTCCTGAAGCTAGTGAAAGCTGACCTGGCTAGAAAACTGATTGAAAAGTCACCGAAGGTAGAATTGAGAAAGAAAGCCAAATCAGGAAAGAGACAACATGTACATGTAGGACAAGCAGGAAAATTCCTTACACCTGAACAGTTACCAGGAGGTGATCTTAAAGAACCATATGCATGTAAAGGAAACAAACTTCACCCTTTGCAGAAAATGGTGAAATGTGAATGTCTGCTAGTCCCTCCCACAAAACCTAAAGATCTCCGGCAGACGCAGCATGGAAAGGCAAGTGAATCAAAGGAACTTGAGGAAGAGGAGGTGCTTCAGCCCAGTTTGCAAAAAGGTCCAGAGAGAATGGCTAAAAGGGAACTCAAGAAAGTAGCTGAGCTCAGTAGTTCTGTGCCTGAAGAGACCCACCAGAGAACAGAACCTAGTAATTTGACAGGGACAGTGCACAAACATATTAAATCAAGGCACAGTTCTCCTCTGATCAGAAAGACTTTGAGAGCCAAACAGGAGCAAGCAACCAAGAATCATGCATTAAAAACATCAAAACCTCAACCAGATTTAGCAAAATTGGGAGAAAAGGAGAAAGCAGAAGAGCACACTTCATCGCCGTTCTGTAACGTCAAGAGTGGAGCCTATGATCAGCCTCATGAGAGTCATGTTTCGAGGATAAGTCTGAGTGAAACTCGGCAAAAAGAAAAAGATACCAGCCTTCTACACGCTGTGCCCGCTGTACAGGAAATTGCCTCCTTTTCCGTAGATGCCATGGAGCTTGGCGAGGAAGTCTTCACTACCAGCATTCAATCCAGAAGTCAAGTTCTCACTAATTATACCCGTAAGACACTCATGATGATGCGACCATATCCAGCTTATCGATCTGTCGCAGGCAAATCACAGTCGCCCTGTAAATTCATGGGACACTGGTTGTTAAGCCAAGTCAAGGGGCGCGGCAAAGTGAAGAGAAACGAGGAACCGGAAGATACATGTACCTTGGAAACCTCAGAGAATGATGAACTCAAGCCATTAGAGTATCAGGGGAAACACGGTAAAAAGAGATGGTCCCTACAAAAGGCTGAACGACCAAAGAGGCTTTTGAAACCCACTGAAAAGTCACTGATGCATCAACTTACTAAAGCTGCTAAGTCTAGCAGGCAGTCAACAAAGCTTCCTCTTGAATTTGACACCACAGCACAGGCTGGTAATTTGGAACCTAAGGTGTCTTCAAGTTCTGCTCTATCTGTTCAGACAAGTCAGGTGCAACAGCATGGCTGTAAGTCTGTTTTTGTACAACCTCAAGAACAAGTTACCTCTCTGCAGCCTGATCTACCCACCACCAACCTCAAAGATTTGGTCATTTCTTCAGTGAAATCTGAAGACCCAGCTATATTGCAAAGATACCTAGAAGAAATTCCTCCTGTGTCCCAACCACAGTGTCCCTCCACCAAAGGATTGAGTAGCCGTTTCCATTTCAGTAAAGTCGATGGGGACACTCATAAGCAAGCAATTCTTGCAAAGCAAAACAGACTTCATAAAGTTTGTCTGGATTTACAGGTGCGTTGCTTGTCTCATGCAAAAGTTTGTGAAGCTAAGTCACCATCTTTGATCCCTGACTCAGAGGTGTCAATATCTGAAGAAAGCCTGACTGGTGAGAAAGATTCCATGCATAGCCATGCAGAAGTTTCATCTGGCTCTGAGTCACAAGTGGCAAATGAAATGGGAACAGACGAGACATCGTATGGCACAGATGCTGCGACCAGCTTGCATTGTGTATCTCCAACAAAATCTGAACCCAATTCCAAATCTGTTGAAGAAAGCAGCGTGACTTCAGATGGAATTCTATGTCCAGGTTTAATAGAAAAAGATGAAAACGGTTCACCTGAACAACAGGAGCTTGAGGATAAATGTTTGTGTCGTTCCTCAACAGAAAAAGATGCAAATGTCAAGTCTGATGTTGAAGAATGCAACAAATTTGTAGATATCCCAGAACAGCTTTTCTCTGCTTCAGACAAGAACAACACGGCTGCAACAGATGAGTGTAAGATCACTAAAGGACAACAAGTGAAACCCCACCCAAAAACCAAAATGAGGCTCAGAAAAAAAGACAAGCACTTTCTGTTCTCCAGGCTGGGGTTTAAGAAGAACAAACGAAGAGCCTTTCACCTGGTGAACAATGACAAGCACAGTAGAGGGCAAAACTCTCTGAAATTGCAAACTGGTGTCGAAAATAAATGCCCACACAAGCGAAGGCGACGTCAGCAAAGAGCTAATGTTTTCACGCCTTCCAATTTATTGCCAACAGCAGCGTCACAGAAACTCTCATCAGCCTTGGACTCGATCCCTGTACCCACCCCACCCACCAGAGGTAGACCAAAGAAGCGTAAGCTTCATGTAAGTTTGGATGAAAACTTTACTCCCGGAGATAGCATCTCGTCACCTCCACGTACAGGAAGAAAGAAAGAGTTGTATCTAACACCGCAGCCAACTGCCAATAACCCCTCATCTTTGCAGCGCCCTCACAAGAAGAGTTCTAGAAGAACACGACTTGAGGAGAGCTTAGATTGTGTCAGCAGTTTTTTACCGAGTCAATCAGATCGGAAGCAGTTTGTCTCCAGCAGAGACAACGAAAATGATGACCCCGAGCCACCAATTACAAATCGGATCACAGATGGCCCACCTGTTGCGTTGCTAGCCTCCAGCCCAGAACACCTGCCACCCAGCAAGAGGATAAAACAGCTCATCCCTGGCTACACCTGCCCGGACAAAGAAGAGTTCACTCTGGAAGAGTTCTGCAGTCTGGAGACACTTGAGGAGGCAGTAGAAATGGCTGCTAGGGAGGCAAGGCATGAGGAACTTAAACCTCATCAGAGCACATCCTCTGTGAAAAAGATGAAATCTAGTGATTCCAACTTACATAAGAACCCCTCTTCATCATCTAGCAAGAAGAGGTATGTTTTAATAGCGGTTCCATGTTTATTTCAACTATAACTGCATGAAATTCAGTGATACCCAACAGTGGACAAATTCTTCCTCGTGGCATGGATTATCATAAGAAGCTAAGATCACATGTACATATATGTACATGTGAGAAACTTTTTCTAGGTGTGAAGATGAGCAGGCTTTTTAGTTTGGTGTCATTGGATTTTGTTAGAGTTTAAAGGGTACTGAGTGATAACATGAAATGGTCAGAGACAGTTTTAAGTGCACCTAATCCTAGATGAAGATGGTGTCATTTGTAGCTGCATCATTTTCTGTGTGATTATGTAATACATCACTTGATCGTGTCCACGTCCATGCATGCATCTGTACATGTATACATGTACGCTAAGTGGATTTCGGGTAGAGATTATTTCATTTCTTTCAAGAAAAATATACGGACTGCATCTTTAAATGATATTAAAATTATATACCAATATTAATTTGCCACTTTCCTGGGAAAAATCTATTTTGTTTTCACCTGCGTTATGTGCAGATGGTTGTATCACTACATGAACATGAACATGTATGTTCAAAACTAAAAGCTGTAATTTGTACATACTGTACATGAAACTGGAAGACCTTGAAATAAAAGGAGTGAAATTATGCAAATACATTTAAATTGTGCACCTGCATACAGTGAAGAAGAGACATACAAGCATTGATATGCTGGCACTGAATACATAATGGTCTGCTTTGGTGTAGGTCATAAAAATAGGTGTAAGTCATGTGCATGGAATTTCATGTACATGTACAATGTGCTTGTAGTGCACAGCTGTGCTTCCAGCAGAATATAACCGTTAATCGACCCCTGAACTGGTGAAGCCACACTTGGTTTCTGTGTGTTCTTTTCTATGGTGCTCAGTAGAGTGGGAGCTCCCACTGGCTCCATTGGAAAGTGTACATATAAACAAAGTGTAGCATCATCAGTACAGAGGCCCACTAGAAACATGAAGAGCCTTGTCTGCCCTGCACCCACGCTGAGATGTGCTGTTCTAATGTGAAGATGCACAGATTTTTGTGGACATTCAGCTGAAAATTGGATTTTCACTTACCAAGCACCGGTCTTGCCGTCATGGTGATATAAAAGCAGTTTAACGATCAATAAGCCTTTGGCGAATTTAATTTGAAGAAAATCTGGTACACTGAGTTATCTGATTGCACATAAACACAACAGTTTGAATTCCTTAGACTAAAGACACCGTTGCTATTCCTCGTGATTCGGGGCAAGCTTTTGCACAGAGACTGCCATCGCTGGAATGGACTGGTTCCTTTGTGCCCTTCGTATCCATTGAAATCAGTGTATTGGTGCAAGGCGTCTCTTATGTAACCAAGCAAACGCTTGCCCCAAATCACGAGGTAAAGCAACAGTGTATTTTGTGTGGAGAATTCAAGTTGTTATATTCAGGTGAATTTAAAGAACTGTGCACCAGATTTTATTCAAATGTAACTTATTCTGTCTGGTATTTTTGTTTGGCAGTCGTGCAAAACGTAGTTCTCGTTCTCCGGAAGGCTCCTACTGGGACTGCAGTGTTTGCACGTTTCGTAACAAGGCCGAAGCATTCAAGTGTGCCATGTGTGATGTTCGCAAAGGCACCTCCACCAGGTACGTTATCCTCTTCACTTCACTGCCTCATCCTTCCCAATCATATCTTCAGATGAAGGTTTGTGGTGGCACCATTCTCTTTTGTGAGTGAAGTTCTGAAGAGAACCGGTGGACTCAACAGTTTGGACAGTACTCTGTCCACTTAGGAGACTCTTGGATCTTATTACAACAGGTTTTCGATTTTAAGTGTGGGTTTTTGGATGAACCATCTTTTTTTGTCATGTGCCCCCGAGGGCTTGTATTGATTCAGATACAAAATGTACCCAGCACTGCCTGGCACTGGTCTAGTCCCTGCTCTCACCTGCTTTAAATGCTTGGATGTTTATCTTAGGAAGCCCAGGCTGAATGCACAACTGGTTGCCCAGCAACAAGCTCAACAGAACTTGACCCCGTTAACTCATGTCAAGTCAGTCAAGACAGCATCGCGAGGAGGTCCAGCACAGAGGAAAGTGGGGACTTCCAAGAAGCCTAGGTGAGCAATCCATTGGAAATGTGAAACACTGGTGCATACTCCCTATTGCACGAGTCAGTCCTGGGAATTCACCAAAATTGGACTCAGTTCCAAACCTTGCAGATGTTTGCTGCGGATATTTTGTGATGCTCCCTCGGTATTGTGCATTTGCAAATGCAGACCAGCCCTAGGAAAACCAGTAGTTTTGCAAGTAAGTCTCCTTGATCCGCGGATTTCTCTCTCAATTTTTTTTGGGGGGAGGGGTTTCAAACACCAGTCCAAAAACAAAAGAGGCAACCGACTACAGACAATTACATTTAGCTTGGAAATGACTGCCTTTTGACCATTACAACCTATGACCAATAGTTGGATTCGAACCCCAGACCTTCTGGTCATGAATCACAAACCTTAATCACAGAGTGCTTGCCTAATTTGTCACTGGTGCCACTTTTTGTCATCCTGCAGACCACGCTTGAAAAATATCGATCGTAGCACAGCAATGAGCACCACTGTGGTAGTCAACAATGTTCCAGTCATTATTACAGAGTATAAGGAGAAATCACACACGAGAACAACAGCTGATTCTGACGAAGCACCAGCCGACAGAACTAACGGCAATGTCAATGGATTATGAAGAGCGCCCTCCTGGTTTTTTTAAAGCGCCCGCCGTTTGAGAGACTATCCCGCGATGTGAATTTTTGGTCGCCCGTGAAATATGCTGCATATTTTTGTACCACACATTCAACCGTAGGTCTTAGAATGGCCATGCTGTGCTCACTTGTTTTGTCAAATGATGGCATTGGATAGAGTTCTGTACGATCCAGGAGAAACCAACCCAGCCTCGTACGGAAGATTTACCAGTTCATCTTTTGAAGACGTAACTGTGGCTTGGAAAGAGACTAGCTCCCAAAGTGGGATTACCCGTTGCAAAAATGCAAAATTGTAATGTCTGAATGTATATATAAACATTTTAACTTAACTGCTTCAGGAAAGCTTAGTGGAGAGACGTGTTTGTGAAAAAGCAAGACATGGTTACTTGTGCAGTGCCAAGACAGTGATCTGCCTGGGAAATCCTTTGTGCATAAAAATGAGTTTGTCTGAATGTTACATCCTTCTCCCATTATGAACCATGTATTCTAGAATCTAGTATTTAACAAGTTATGCAACATAATTTATCAACACTGACTTTTGAAAGCCTGTCTTATGGAGACTGAACATTGACAAAGCATTGATTGCTTTAGTCCAGAGAAGCCCTATCGTAAAAAGTTGTGCTTTGGAAGTTTTTTTTAGTAATTCACATAGATAAAAAGGTTCACGCATGTACAGACCACTGTTCAAACATAACTTTGATGAGTGAAACAAGTCAAGTTCGTTAAAGTGAAAGTTTTAAAATAGAAAACCATCTCATCTGCATTGATTTCGTCTGTAGGGCCAAGGGGAAAGACCTGGCATGAATGACAAGCTTTAATTAGAATTGGCAGTGTTGAAAACAAGATGGCCACTTTCTTTGTAAAATGTATAGTTGGATATTGCAGCTTAGGAGGTTACTTCCAGGGGGTTGCTTCCAGATGTTGCAATAGTTAGTGGCATGTTACTCAACAGGTCACAATATGGGCACTTGCACACGTTGCACCTTGTAAGGAAGTTGAGGTTCATTGCTTAAATCATAAGTGCAACATGGTTTGCCTAATTAGTAATCTTTATGTGATAGCATACATTGATGGTAACTTACATGTATTCAACGTTCATTCACGTCCATCAGTCTCCACTCAGACAATTCAGGAAAGACAAAGCTCTAATAAGAACTGAACAACTAGCATTGGCAATCTTTGTACACGACAGACATTATAGTTAACGTCCAGTCATGGTATAGTGCCATGACTTCACACACACAGATTGATCCATCTTTGATCATCAAGATGCCACACTACCAGCCAGCAACAGTACCACAGGTTGTGTGACCTTAATGACAGTAACCATAATGCACACAAATCCTAGTGTCCGGATCAAGGCACTGATTGGCTTGCCATAGAACTCCATAGTGTCTGTGTACAGATGCTCTATTTTTCTTTTCGGCTACGTCCTTTTTATTTTCAAAGGAATGTAACTGTACTGAGAAGGGAACCCTACACTTGTGTAAAACTGCACATTTCACTGATAATTACCCTCAGAAAAGAAGGAATTATTTTTGTGATAATAACTGTAAATTTAGAGGTAAAATTTTGAAATAATGTAACAAAAAATATGAACATGTGTTTATGTAGATTGTTGTTCATTGATGAGATTACTGTAATTGAATGACCAAGAGAACTTTTTTACTAGCATTAATGGGATGATGCCAATTTGTCTGAAACCTCTTTACAAACAACCCAGTCCTCCATTTTATACAGAATCATAAAGTAGTAATGTCCAGGGGCAAAGAGAAGGCGTTTTTCTGGGGGGGGGGGTGTTAGAGTCAGTTTGTCGACTTGTAACTTTTTCGTCAACCTAGTGTCATGTAAAATTTATAAAGTGATCCTTGGTACGGCCAAAGTATATTGTTTATGTACCAAGTTTGGATTGATTTGCTGACTGGAAATAATTATGCTACACCCCCGGTAGTGTCCTGTTTCATTACAATGACTTCATGTGTGAACGTCCTGACAGAAATGTTCCATCTACTTGTATAAGGTTGATGATGTTAGAATATTGTTCTTACCCCCATTAACCCTTCTTCTGTTTTAACCGTCAAAAACAGTCAAAAATGCCTTCCAATTGATTTTCCCCAGTACACAGACACATATGGGAAATTTGACTGATTTTGAATGATATGACAACTGTGTCAACAATGCATCTTAGCATAGGAGGGTTAACAATGTTTGATTTCTGCAGTAAGCATTTAAAGTAGTGCTATGTAAAGATTTGCCCAATGATTTGTTTGGATAGCCTGTGTCCAGGATGAACTTTCAAAACAAGAATTATCATACTTGTCATGTGACCAGAGCAATCCAATCAGAATACAGCTTCACCAAGCAATAGCCAATGGTATTTCTTAACAATAGTTAATGTACGTTAAAGGAAAAGCTGAAACAGTCCTTGGCTACATGAAGAATATAGACCAGCAAACTTAGCATGATGCAGTTTGAAGCTTTAAATAGTTGCTATTACATATTTTTTTCCGTTTAAAAAAATGAATTTATGTGTACATATCAATTGTGGTAGTATAGTCTGTAGTAAACGTGTTGACTTCATGCCATGTATCAGAAAGTATTATTTATGTGTGACTCAAATGACAAAAATAGTGTTTTATGTTGCTTTTCTGTTGGGGAACGAAAGGAATGAAGATTGATGGCTATCTTTAATTGGCGTTGGTCAGTGTTCATAAATCACATTTTAAAACAGTTATAGCATTGCTGTATTTTGTAAATTGTCTTTTTCTTGTTGACAAATGAAAAATAAATGTTTCTGAGAATGCTCCTTTTAAAAAATGATACTTTTACTGTGGATTGTTTTTGTAATGAGTTAGCCGTAGCCCGTGTTTAAAGTACAGTTTGGGCTCAGGCTTGCCTTACAATGTGATCCGATTTGATCTTCCTGTAACAAACGCCAACTCAGATTGAGCGGCAGTCTCCAAAGTCAAAGCTGCCACCGCATGGCCAAGGTTCCAAATGTGTAACTGACTTGCAATAAAAAACAAAGGAATTCATGTGTGGGCAGTTGCAATCTATGAATAGACTGATTTGGAGTTCAAAGAATATCATTAATGGGGCTGACGAGTTGAACAGAGTATCCCGATTACTTCTGTTATCACATTGTTGCCAATGAGCAGTAAGTCCGTTTCATTCCTTGTGTTCGTCCAACCTCTGGAATTTTGTAGAGGGAATATTTTGGTCTTTAGCTTGAGAAATCTTACAGCATAAGCTCTTGTGCATTCTAGAAGAAAGCTTTCAATTGAATCCTCCAAAAGGTTATGGAATAAGTTACAGCTGATTATCAATCATCAAAGCCCTAGCCATTAAGTACACTGTAGTTAACTTTGGCAGGTTTATCGACCTCTCTGGCGTTGCCATATTCTCATCGTTTCTTGATACCAAAAAAAAAAAAAAAAAAAAAAACTCACAAAAAGAACACTGGTATGGAACTATACACTAAACATACTATGACATCATTATTTCTTCAATAATAATACTGATATTAATTCTACAATATTTTCCAGATGGGCCAACCAAGAGTTTTTAGCTTAAAATTAAGAGTTCACAAACCTTTTTCAACTGAATGTGCACAAAACCTTTTAAGTGAACGTGCACACCTTTTTTAACCGAATGTACACAAAACCCTTCTCCACTGAATGTGCACAAAACCCTTTACCTGATGAATGTGCACAAACCCTCATCTAAATGAGCACAAAAATTTGCACAAAACCCTTCTCGGCTGAATGTGCACAAAACCCTTCTACACTGAATGTGCACAAAACCCTTTGCCTGATGAATGTGCACAAAACCTTTTAACTGAACGTGCAAAACCTTTTTTAACTTAATGTACACAAAACCCTTCTCCCCTGAACGTGCACAAACCCTCAACTAAATGTGCACAAAAATTTGCACAAAACCCTTCTCAGCTGAATGTGCACAAAACCCTTCTCCACTGAATGTGCACAAACCCTCAACTAAATGTGCACAAAAATTTGCACAAAACCCTTCTCCACTGAATGTGCACAAAACCCTTTTTAATTGAATGTGCACAAACCCTCAATTAATGTGTACAAAAATGTGCACAAAACCATTCTCAGCTGAATGTGCACAAACCCTCAACAGAATGTAGATGTATTAGTGTGTGGGTGACAGCAGTGCTTGGCCGGCCACGATTCACCATTCATGGTGACAGCAGTGCTTGGCCGGCCACGATTCACCATTCAGGGTGACAGCAGTGCTTGGCCGGCCACGATTCACCATTCAGGTTAAAGAGAGGCATGTAGTCCACTGCAGGTCCATACATTTACCATGCACTGTACACTTTTCCTGTAAGTGTAAACTTCCATCTTGGTCAGTTCCTACTATCCTGTGCTATATCATTATTGGATGACGTAGACACTGGAAAGGAGTCTTCTTGGTGAGTTCATGAAGTCCTCAGTCTTTAGCTAAACTGCCTTTCTTTTCTACCTCCTGATAAAGAAAGAGGACCAGGTTATTGCTTTTAAGAGCACATGCAAACAATGCCGTATTACCATGTTACATGTTTTTACAAATTAGTTTTATGGGTGAAAGGTTGAAATGAAATTCTGACTTTAAGCCAGCAGGTGACCCCGGCGCCTGGGTAAGGACCAACGTGGTTTGTGTTCCTGACTTGAAAGGTACAGGGCTATGATAAAGGGGAACAGTGGAAACCTTCCAAACCTGTAGAATTTCTTGAGGAAACTCGTTGATATTCTTCTTTACGCACGGAAGGCAAAACCATCTTGTGTAGAATAAGCTACAATCCTAAAAATAAGATTTCAAACAAAAAATATCAGTGATGAGTTGACTGGCAAGTTGAACTTCATTATCCAACATGTATCTTAAGTGCATTTCATGTATTGGTGATAAAGTGAATTAGCTTTTTACTGCCAAAAGCTTGAGGATTTTTGATGCTCCTTGTAAGGAAAGTAAATTTTAGTTCTTCCTTGGACAAAGGTAGATAAAAGAGAAGATATCTTTAGAACCAATTTCCATGTGCTGTGTACTCTGGAATTCTAAACAGTAAATTATCTTCCAACATACATGTATCTGTTGAGCAGATGTTCCCCCTAAAAATGTGATTCACAGGACTGCTGTAACTAGAACTCAAATTATGTCCTATGAAATGGGTAGCCTACAAAAGTACAACACTGGAACTTCTCAAAGTTGTGACACTGTCATCAATATCAGTCAACTATGAGTCATCAGTGCCCAGAAATATCTTCAGCGAGTTCAGCTCTCAACTCACCTGACCGGCACAAACTGCTTGCTCACAGACTGAGCAGTGTGATCCTACTGTGATATGTCTTCCTTCTGGTGCAAAAGGGTCCTTTAACACATAGGCTTTATCTATTAATCTGGAAATTAAAGAAACAAAGAAACAATTTTTGAGTGTTTGGTTTATTCCTGCAGAAAAACGTCGAAGTGACGATCGATCATCGACAGTAAATTAACGCCAGTGCGTAATTTCGTTGAAGAGTTTCACAAGAAGAAAGTTGGATGCGCGAATATTTGTATGCGCGAATTTAGCGTACTCCACGATAATCCTAATAGGCCTACTAGTAGGATTATCGTGGAGTACGTGGATTCCTAGCTACGGTAGTTCGCCCGGGATGCGGCCAGCCTGAGCGGGTGCTTCAACCATCCGACCCCGGACCATGCATGCTTCAAGTTCGAATTCAACATGCCCAACTTACCTCACCGATTTCACAAACGGCGGTTTGCGACCGAAGTAATCATAGGGTGATTTGAAATCACACAAGAAACATTGAAAAAGGAATTCTCTAGACATAACGGACACAGTGGAATGATAACCGTGGAATAAATTTGGACAGGAGGATCTGCCCATAGACCCGGAGTCTCGGAGGAGAAAAAAAAAAACGACCCAGGTGCACGATCACCTAGCTCAGTGCTCGTCGCGTGCGTACGTACGTCACGTCTCTAGCTAGCTCTACGCAAAGTCGCTGCATCAAACCACCAATTGAGGGCGCGCTTTCAAAACAGTTCGCGGCGGCCTCTCATTTTTAACACGGGTTTCTTGTTCTCGTCCTTGAACGGCGCGCGGCGGGCCGCCGGCGGGCGGGACGAGTTTGGGCGATCTGTTCTTGACACGGACAGGGGCGTAGCGACGGGGGCGGGGGTTGTAACGGCGGGAACACGAATCACTAATCCTTCCAATCTTCGCAGCCGAAGTTATAAAATAACCACAAAATTTAAGGTTTTGGACGGAGACCAAGGACCGGGTACTTTTAACATTGGAGATGTTCTTCAGCCACGTGGCGGGAACTCTGTAAGCCGAACCCAAATAATCCTCAAAGGGAAACTACATGTATACGATTCGAATTCTCTCAGCGAATCACTCCCGAGGTTTTGTCGTGCTTGACTGAGCAAAACATGATCCCGAGAGAGTGGCACCTTAGTGGCCTCTCGGTATTTGGCAACGCGTGCCTCACTGTTTATAGGTCTCATCCATACTCTGCTTGCTCCCAAAACGAATCAAACAATTAAACCAAACAAACTGAAGCGTCTCTCTTCTGGATTTTTATTAAGAAAAAATAAATAAGAACATCCTTTCCGCTTACATTCAGTCTTCAATATTCCAGAAGTGTTGTTTTATTTCAGGAATTTGGGTTCAGTTTTGGAAGCCATTAACTTGAAGAGTGAAAGCCAATAGAATAATTGAATATACTGTTTAATGAGCCCTTTTTCCTCAGTACTTACCCTTTTTCCAATTTTCAATTTGCCATTTCAAGAGGGATACTGAATCTTGATTTTCAATATCCAGTGTCATTAAAAGGAAAACAATTTTCACTATACTATTAGCGACAGATATTGTTAGATTTCAATAATATTTCAAGCATGTACTGAGCAGAACAAAATACAGCGTTAATTGCTGACGGATTCTCACCAAATCATGGCATACAATTCACCTTTGCCTCATACAGTCAACCACGTGTAATTAAGGCTACAATTTGACAATATCAGTTATTTTAACCCTTCACTTCTATATACGTAGTAAGCAAAAGCAAAGTTCAAATAAGGAATCAATGGTTTACACTGATAATGTTAACTAAATTCCATTTATACATCTTTTCAACTGTACAAATTGCAGACCAAATTGCTGATCGAAATACAGAATTACACAATTTAAAAAGACTTGTGTAGGTTTTCTTCTGTAAAAGCAAATAACCATTAACTTTACAAAAGACTCTTTTATGAGAATATTGAACTGGAAAGGGAAGCGATAGGGAGTTGTCGTTGTTTTGGCAAATAAATTTCTCAAGAAAGACCCTGGACAAAGACAAAAGTGCGTTTAAATCGGGAGTTTTGCCGAGAGCACAGTTAACTATTTTAATTTTACAAACAATGCTGTTGTTCGCCTACGTGCCAGTCTCCTCGCGTGGTTTTCTTCCAAGAAGCAAAACAACTGATGATCTGACGTGTATCTTGGCATCCTCTGCAGGGCAATCTAAACTTAAAATCTCCATCAACCTGGAAATGATGTAGACAAAGCTTCAATAAATCAAAAGAGGCTGCACACCAACTGGACCTACTCAGAGATACGGGATGATCATCAAAGCACGCAACAATCTGAACAGTTTTTCATCCATTCCCCCATACAAACACAAAACTGAAAGGCTTTGTTTCTCTTACCGTTCCTGTACCTCCTTGAGGATATCAGGGCCACTTGGATTCTTCTCCAGGTAAACTTGATAATTGGACCAAGATCGGATGTAGTCCATGTAAGACGCTACAGTCGTGTCATATCGAATGTCAAACGACTCATCCCTAGTGTCCAAAACAACATATATTCTTCGTGAGTGAAGTCAACTCATTTCCAAGAAATCCTCAGACAGGTACAGTTCAAGATTTTCAACTCCCTCGGGCAGACACGCCAGAAATTTCTTAGTGACAATGCCCCCCTTGCTTATTCACAAAAGGAGTTCATACATAGCCATACCTTGTAGTTTCATCATATGGGATGTGGATATCTGCTAACTTGTTATGAAGATGTTGTGAACGTGGGCTGGAATAGGGTCTTATGGCAATGCTGACCTGTTATTGATGATTGAGAAACATAAACTGTAACACTGCACTTATGCTCCTACATACACAAAATTGATGAAGACAGTAAAAGCCCTAATGTGTGTCCCATCATCTGTAAAGTTTCCAGAAATGATTCTTATATGCAACATACATGTACTTCAGCCAGATCACAGGTGAAATAAATGCCATTACGTCACTTGTACATTGCATTCGATTTGCTTACATTAGGCAACCCTGACCCAAGGATGCAGCTCTGCCAAACAAGTGAGAAAGTGGGATGAGGTTAAGCCAGAGTCAACTCGTGGAAGCTAATTGAATTGTACCCACCCACAGAATGCTTCAAATCATATGACTATAACGCAGATTCTGGACAGAGTTCAGAACACCTGTCTGTCACATTTGACCCTCAATTTATTACAAGTATGAAAATGGCAATGTACCCCTGGTGTCGTGCTTAAACTAATTATCCAGTGTTTAATAAATTCCTCACCTGCGTAACCACATCCTTTAATTGTTCATTCTTTACGTCATCACCTTCAACCCAGGGCCGTATTTTGTGATATGTATAAATGGCAATGCATCCGTTGGGTTTCAGTACTCTGTCCATCTCACGAAAGAACGCATCTAAATCAAACCAATGCACTGACTCTGCACATGTGATCAAGTCGACAGACCTGTCCGGTACAGCAACGCTCTCAGCACTTCCTATTCTGATGTCAAAACAAAAATCAAAATGTTGGATATCTTAATATTTACGCCTTAATTATACCTTTAAGACTTTGAAACTGATCCCTGTTTATTAATGGAAAGTAGATGAGAGATATTGGATGGTTTTAACTACCTGTATTTCGCAAGCAGCTATGATAATGCATAACCACTCTGACAACGACCATTTCAAATTCTCCAACCATCATTTGAAAGACTTGCAACGAACTACCTCTGCTCAAAAGTCAAAACTAAAACAAATAAAAAAAAAGGAAACGGAAACCAGTAATGCACATAGGCACCCAAACATTTCCTCACCTAAATTCAACATTTGGTGGATTCTCCAAAGACTGTGCAGCTCTTATCTGTGCTTCACTCACATCAACACCGATGATCTTTTCAAAATATGGGGCCAAAGGTCGTGTATTCTGGCCTGATCCACACCCTACATCAACTGCGAGTTTGAAAGGCTCTGATTTCTAAATATCAAATTAAAAATAAAACACATTTTCTAAATTTTTCCAAGGAAGAAAGATTTGAAAACTGAAGAATAAAAATGGCATTAACAAGCTTTTGACCTCCATTTAACGATTCTAACCATTCTCGATACTGCCAGAAACATATGAAACACCAATTCACCACATCTTCGTAATGTAATTCTTAAAAAAATGTTTCCAAATACAAATAACACAAAAGTCAATTCCAAGACATTCAAATGCATGTAGTACTGGAAAAAATGTGGACTGATGCATAGATAGCTAGCTAACAGATTCATAGGTGACCCATAATTCAGAAATGGTAGGCCTATCCTCTTTCAGTTCAGTACACTTGACGATGGACTTTTCCAGTGTAGGCCTATCTTGACAAATAATTTAGCAGAATTTAGTAGTAGTGAAATTTTCACTTTTTTAAAAACACAGACTTATATTTAGGCCCTAAGTATACCCACATAACTACATGTATGTCCATGTACATGCTCATGGTGTCAATTTTGTTAGCCTATGTAAGCCATTTTTTTCGAAGAAGGAGCAAAGTACTTTTGGAAGATAGGCTGCAATTTCAAGGTGGGTGGAAACAAAGCACTTATCCAATAGCAGAAAAGTAATAAATAGTGAAATGTGCAACTAAAGAGTCAACTCTGAAGTATTTTCAAGAAAATTGGTGTATTTCCTCCCGTCTTATTTCTCTTTTCATTATTTTCATTTTCATTTTTTTTTGGGGGGGGACACCCACTTGCAGTCCTCGCCCCCTTTCTGCATTGATCTGGCTATAATAGCCTTGCTGGAACTCATCTCAGTGTTTGCTCAGTGCATAGAGGATTGGAGCTATAATCCTTGACAACATTTTTGGGAAACATGTCAATAGCCATACCCTGGGCACTCCACCCCCCAGTCACATGTGTCATCTGGAGCTTGAGTGCAGACCGCGCATTTAGACCCAACATTGAGAGGAGGCCGGGGGGGGGGCATTCAGTGGCCAGGATTGTAGCTGCATGGAGCGCCCTCACAGAGGGCTGCACACATTACACGATCCACTACGAGCGGAACAAAAGAGGGCTTTTTTTCGGTACTCACCGCATAGGCCATGAGGCGCGCAAGTATGTGCGCGTTTGACGTGGAGCACGCTGAGTACGCGTAACTAATTTGTTCCAGCATGTATGGTCTTTGCGTACATGCAGAACGTGTGACCCGCTTGTAACCAACTGTCTTTCTTTCGCCGATTGATGGTGCACTTTAGCTCGGGGCGGATAACAAAGACCAGTCCTTAGTGAACGCACACTGTGCAGCTGTGTAACAACTTTTACACATAATCCGGCTCGTAAGTGACTTCGTCACAAAGGCAAACGCGCCACGGTTTGCAGGCGCTCATTGGACAATCGCTGAAGGTGCGCGTTAACTTCCGGTTCCATGTAAACGGCGATCAATGTATGTAACCCGTTTGCAGTGGGCGTGGCTTAAACTGAAGTGACGTCACACTTACGAACCGGACACACATACGTTTGCGCGCGCACACTTAGTGTGGGATGTGTGACTCTATGGCCGGCCAAAATTAACAATGACGAAAATAAAGCAACATTCCGCATAGTTATATTTATTTCTGTGTTTATCTCTATTTCTGCGTTTGTTATCTTTATTTCGGTGAATGTTGCTTTATTTTCGTCATTGTTAATTTTGTCCCTCTTGGCCGCCCATACGACTCAGCCTGGATACGTTTTGTTTATTTCGGTACTGAAGGAGAGTCACGTCGGTGCATTACCGAATGAGGTTCAATTGATATGATGGGTCCAGTCCACTAATTCAAGCCCCACTGAAAACAGTGTAAAATCAGCACCGTTCAGG